AGGATGAAACTCTATTCTATTGATGGAGATGGCCCTTAGACCATAATGAATTTTGATATGTTTTCGACTGTATTTCTTGTCAAGGTGTTTGTACAATACATATACAATGGCGCCCCCCGGTAAATCCCGCTACTCTAGCCCCCTCCAATGAGAAACCTACTCCATCTACTTAAGAGAGAGCTAAATCAGTTGAGTACAAACTAATATGCTGATTTTGCTCTATCAAATCATATTGCAATCAATGCTGTTGATTTGCCGTGATATTTTCATGGATATTCACTTCAAAATGGTTATGCTCCACTTGTTTTGAGTCTTGTATGCATGAAAATAGTATAGATGTTAATTCATCTTTTGGATGTGAGATTATGCAAGTTAATCATAATTTAGATTGAATTTCGTCTCTCAATGGAAGTAAATGTTAATTGCTCTTTCCTTGTCAAGTTTAAGCATAATGTAGATGGGGTGGTTTCTGATAGTAAACGATAACTGATCTTTCATTGTCAATCTTAAGCTGTATGTATATGGAATTTTATCTCTTGGTTGATGTGTATGGAAGTAAATGCTAATTGCTCTTTCCTTGTCAAGTTTAAGCATATGTGATGATCCTAATGGAAAATGGGAAATTTCAATGGCTTTTTAACACATACAAATAGCTTAAATTTTTAAATTGACTATGAGGTTTGGAGGAGGGGAATTGGTCTAGCAATCTTGAACTCACATACAATGGTTGGAGGGAATATCAATATTCCAAATCATCAACACATAATACATGTTTGATTTAGACAGAAGCTCTTAGGTTAAGTGGACCTTCAACAAAGTGACTACTAGTCTATCATAACTAGCAAATAATATCATCCAATACTGACAAACTAGCAGTATCATTATTTGTGTTAAATTTGCATTGTGTGTGTTTGTGTGTGTCAATTTTGGTATTGTTCATACACTTAATTGCCGACGACATGAGGCTTAGCTTTCTGCATACTTAATAAGTATTCATATCTTACCATGGCTTATATTGTGTGCCAACTTCCAAGTACATATTTGCCTCGGCATCTATCATTTAGAAGTGATGTTTGTGCAATTGACTCGGTATATGCGGTTTATTCCTGGTTCTCTGTTTTACTTTGCATATCCCCTGCGATGGGGGGGGGGGGGGGGGGGGTGGGTCAAGGCCATTTGATTCTCCTCCCTCAGTATATCCTGAAAATTGCAACTGATTTATAAAGATTTTCTAATGTGGTACATCATTCATTCGTAGAATATCTTCTCACCTCCACAGTTGTGTTTTTTGTTGAGCAGATGTTCCAGTTGATGCCAACACCGCAAGGAAGCTTCTATGTGCTAAATGACATTTTCCGCCTGAACTATGCATGATGTCTCTATTGAAATTAAAGCTGGAGGTTGAATGAACTGTTGACTGTTCTGCCTTTGAACTCTGTATTCCAAAGTAAAAAAACAAAAAAAAAATATTGCTGTTAGGGTCCGAAAAAGTTTGGGTTTAGATTCATCTGCTTGGCTGTTTGTGCATTCTTTTTGCCAGTTATTGTGAAGGTTTCAGAGTAATTCCCAATTGATAGACGAATTTCATTTTATCAACTCTCTAAAGCCTGTAATGGAAGTTTAATCGTACGAATTGTGATGTACGGGTTCTCGTTTAGTCTCATTCTTATGCTGATCACATTACATCTCTATGTAGTTGGAGCATATTTTCAGAGACACAAACAAATTTATTGATGCTACACTTGTGAACGAAGTATTTACTAGCGGGAATACTTACATTTGAAGTCGTAAACATGCTCACAGTGAACCAATTTTCGAGCTTAGAGGACCAATTTTTCTTACTTGTACCAATTAGACAAGTAATGTTTTTCTTAATTAGTGATAATACATTACTTGAGATGGAATCTCCAGATAAAATAAGAAACCAACCCACTGACGTGCTGTTGGAGGTATACGCTTAAAAAAGGAAGCATTTGTAAGAATTTTGATCTACAAAGCAACCAAATCTCACGTGCTGAATCTGAAATAGCTTCATTTGATAACCTTCCCTTTCACCCAAAACTTGATCTATATATTAAGCCTATTTCCAGCACCACTTTGTACAGTATACTCTGTCTTTGTAATATTAGAAGAATAAGCAGAGCAAGATGTCGGATTGGGGCCCGGTATTTGTAGCGGTGGTGCTGTTTGTGCTGTTGACTCCGGGCTTGCTGATTCAGGTGCCGGGCCGGAGCCGTTTTGTTGAGTTTGGAAACTTTCAGACGAGCGGAGTATCTATACTTGTTCATGCCATTATTTACTTTGTTCTCATTTGTATTTTGTTGTTAGCTATCGGCGTCCACATGTACATGGGCTGATCATTGACCTTCACATGATTTGCAGATTTTCTGTTTCATTGATGAGTAATGAGTTTTTAAGTTTATGTAATTCGTATAAAATATGTTGTGTTTATTTATTTCTTAGTAGATAATAAAGGCTTCTTCGTTTTGCGCTCGCTCGATGTTCACTCTGGTCGATTGGGAAATACGAATCAAACTACTACTTTTTGAATTAATGATTATCCGTCGATTGGTGCTGTTTTCCCCTTTCCGTTTTCCCTTTTTCTTTTCCGGCCCTTAAAAGGCTATTTTAATGGGATTTTGGTTGGTTTTACAGCTTATCTGCAACCCAGAAAAAAGAAAGACACAACTTTATGTGTAATACTAAATTCAAGAAAATTGCATGACAAACAATTAGGTAAAACAAACACAAGGAAGACAGAGAAGATTGTTGTTATTGGACATGATGTGTTAGAAGAAAATAAGGTAATTGAAGATATTTGACTAGAGATAGATATGTACGTTGAGCAAGACGAGGAAGAGAAAAAGGAGCAAACCGTAAACAACAGTGTGCAAAACCATAGCAGACACACTTGTGTTCATGCTTACAAACTCAACTGCCCTATTCCTTCCTGGAAGCTGGAACAGCAATCCCGGGCACATGAATCCAAATAGTGCTGTGGCTATCATCACTCCTGCATAATCATTCATTTTTTTTTGTTTTAATTCATTAGTATTACCACCACCTTCTTTTGTTTCTTTAGTACAAGTTATGCAAGGAGAATAAATAGTAAGAATATTATTATAAAAAAAAGGGTCTTTGGGTTTGAACTTGTCTACAAGGTGATCAGGAAGAATCCCACAAAAGTAGGAGGAATTATCTATATAGTATTTATTGCAAAAACACACCGTTCATTCATTCTGGTGCTCACAAAATATTCCAGAATCCCAAGTGTCCTTGTCTAAAAGCATTAAAAAGAATTATATTCCTCACTTGTTGGTTTAACTTCACTTATTTTCCTCCTTCCTCTGCACAAATTTCACCCTTGTGTAAGAAAAAAAGGATTAATGGCGGATTGGGGGCCGGTGCTTATCGGAGTGGTACTCTTCATACTCCTTCAACCGGGGCTGCTCTTTCAGATCCCCGGAAAGAACCGACACGTGGAGTTTGGAACCATGAAGACCAATGGAAAGGCAATCGCCGTACACACGCTTATCTTCTTCGCTTTTTATGCTGTTCTAACATTTGCCGTTCATGTCCACATCTATACCGGCTGATCGGCCGGTCCCCTTAATTCTCATCGGAGCAAGATCCACGTCTTATTGTATATATAAAGCTTCTTGTATTCTCGTGTAAGTGTATGTGTGAGTGTGTGTCTGTGTTCTCTCTCATCAGAAATTTAATTTAAACTCTGCCTCAACTCATGTTTTCATACT